GATGTACTGAAGGCCCCCAGCCCAGGTCCTGGCAGGTGGGGCTCCACCCATGCTGAGGAACTGGAATCTCGCCCGAGACCCAGCTGATGGCAGAGCCTTCCTCATCTCTCACTTGGCTAATCTGACACCAAAGCACCCCTGGGCCACTTCTCCTTCAGCAGGAGACTTCTTTGTCCTGTTTAACCACAGGTGATCTGTCCCTGGGGCCCAAACTATTCATTCTCATTAATGGGAACGCTTGATGTTTCTTCTGTCCTCCTGTCCCCATGTCCCCTGCTTCTTATGTCCAGGAACAATGGGAGCAGAAATGCAGGAGAAGCTCTTTGCCATGTAGGGAGGAACCCTTCTCCCTAAAGCTTTCTCTGCCCCTGCAGCCTTCCCACCTGCTGCTCTCTGAATACCATCCCATACTCACTCTTGCATCAGCTACTTTAGCTGGAGCTTTTGGTAACCTGATATCAGTTCAGTAGATCCCTACTGAGCAGTTATTTTGCAAAAAATACAGCAGCCTGTGACTTGAATCCTCTTTTCATTTCACATTTGCTGTATCAGGCACACATTGTCTATTGTATATGAACAGAAACTTTCTTTTTTTTTTTTTTAACATCTTGTAAATTCCTGGTTGCTGCTGCCACTGATTTCTTCTTTCCCATACCTATTTTCCTCCATAATGGAGAGGTGGGATTCAGGGTATAAAATAGAGACCCCTGGAGTCTAATTGGGAAAACACTCACTGGGAGAAATGAAATGATAGAGACTAACAGCAGTTCATGTCAAAAAAGAGACCCAGGGGTTTTAGGGGGCTAACTTCAACACTTGATTTGGTCAACAAGTGTCAGTAATTGTCTACCCTGTGACCAAAAAAAATTGTCCCAGAAAATGAAGTACCAAATTGATGAGATTTGGCCCTGCTCTGGAGGAGGTTCCAATCACATTAGGGGGCAGGTTTATATCAGATGACTGAAATGTGTTGTGATACCTGGAGTGGGGTGAGAGAAAACACTCAGGCACCTGATCTGGCCTGGGGCAAGCCCAGGAAAGGTTTTACCAAAGAGGGGGTGGTTGGGTGGGGTCTTGAAGCATAAATAGGAGTTTGAAGAGTAGGTAAGGAAGAATGGAGATTCCTAGGAAAAGGGAGTGGCATGGATAAAGAACTAGGCATGAGAAAAATAAGGCCTGTTCAGAGATTGGCAAGACTTCCACTCTTTCTGGAGGAGAGGGGACGTAAGTAGTGGCAAGAGGCAGAACCTGGAAGGTGAGCTGGTGTGCCAGGGATGTAGAAGTGTGCAGTGAGAAGACAGCTAAGCCAGGACCCTTGCAAAGGTGGGAGGTGAGGTGGGAGTGAGGTGGGGGCAGAAAGAATCATCTGCAAGGAGGGAAGAGAACCTGGGGTGGGGGGTGAGTTGCAGGATGAGCCAGACAAAACCTGAGGCCCTGGAGGAACAAGAAAGTGTGGCCCCGGACATCAGTGTTGCATGGGGTAGCTGAAGAGCCGGGCCCCTTGATTTCTCTGTTGTTTATACACTTTTTCGTTGCTGCTATTGCTCATATACTTCTTTTAAGTCCTAAATTTCCCCGAAACTGTCCATTTAGGGGGTCTGTGGCAGGTCATGTTGACAGGAATGAAGGCTCTGCACAAAGTAGGTGGTGAGTAATAGTAGGCTCACGAACAACTCTGTCATCATTTGCTGCTACCATTCCCATCCACACTGGCATCTTAATTTTATTTCCTCCCACAGATGGGCACGCTTTTGAAATTGTAATTTGGATCTTGGTACATTTCTGCTTAAAAATCCTTCCAGAGAAAGGCAGAACCCCATGCTGCGCTCCACATGGCATGGCCCCCAAAACCATCTATGGCCTGGCCCCAACCTCTTCCTGGCCTTCTAGGCCTGGCCACCCTGGCTTCCTCCTAAGTCTGGAGGAGGTCAGACTCCCCACAGAGCCTCAGGTGCACACCCTGCCTCCCTGCCGCATCTCTCTGATTTCTGCCTATCCTTAGTTCCCACCTCAATGTTCCTTCCTCCAGGAAGCTGTCCAGGGAGCCTCCTCCTACCCTGCCCTTCGTAGCACTTGAGTCTTCCTGCTTTCCATAGGAAATCACACTTGTAAGCAAGTGTTCAGGTGACTTTGTGGTTATTTTCATGTCCCCTGCCTGTCCTGCCACCACTGAGTCCCTCACATATCTGCGTTGATGCATATTTGACCACCCAACAGCTCGGCTGGCCCCATTTTCTCCTCTGCCTCCTGGCTGACCTCTGCCATCATCCATGTCCACCTGGCTCCCAAAGTTCTGCTAAGGCCCCTGCCTCCTCTCAGAGCCTCCCTGAATGCTTCTAGCCCCTGGAGTATTCACTGCACTGCACAGATCACTCTGCATCCTTAGTTAGCTTGCATGCACCTTTTTAGGGCTGTTAAGGCATAGAAATCTTAGTCTGGCAGCCATGAAGCAGAGTACTTTCTTGGCTCCTGGAAATTCCCTCATTGGTACAGTGAGTGAAATAACAGCACCCACCCCGGGTCCTTTTAGTCACACACACAAGGCCCTGTGCTCAGAAGGGCCCCACCATGGGTTAATGTTCTGTTGTTGCCATCTTGAAATTCTTGATAGCATTTGAATGAGGGCCCGGTGTTTTCAACATGTACTGGGCCCTGCACATTGTGTAGCTGCTCCCATACCTGCCTCAAGGGGCATTGTGAGGAGCCATAGGAAGATGTGTGACATCTACGTTCTCAGGGCTGGCACCTGGTGACACTCTCAGCAGGGTCACCTGTCATCATTTTAGCTCTGCTCAACCACAACCACAGTTGATAATTCACTCTTCTGTTTGCTCAGCTTCATTAACTAAGTGCTGTGGTCAGAGACATTGATCAACTGCTGAAAACCCTTCTGCAGCTGCTCCTTACCCTTGCAGGGTTCCCAAACACCGCCAGTCTCCAGATTCACCCCTGGAGCTTGTTAAAAATAGATTTCTGGGCTGCACCCGGCCAGGCCCACTGAATCGGACTCCCCAGGGTTAGGCCCTGCAAGTGTGTGTTGGAGCAAGTTCCCAGGTGACTGACACCTTCATTAATGCCAGAACGGGAGTTTAGAAACCTCCATCCTGGGAGTTTGAACCCAAGCCTCTTGTGGTGGTGTTTGGCGTCCTTTCCATCTGGCCCTGCCTGCATTTCTCGCTCCGCTTCTGACATGTGCCCTAACCCTGTGGGGAAGTGCTGGCTCTCTCTGACTCCCTGGTGGGGTGCCTTTCACTCCCATGGCACCCTGAGGGGTACTGAAGCCTTGTTCCTTTAACAGAATATATCGTTCCTTCTTTTCATGATCACCAGCACTCAGTTTTTCTTGTTCTCCAATCACATGTCGCATTGCACCTTGATTTGTTTCTGCACCTTTATTCCCTGTAGCCTAAGCTGAGGGAGCTCACCTCTATACTCTTAATTAGCAGCAGTAACACACAGAATATTCCGGTTCCCTCCACACACGCCAGTGTACCTGGTGGACATGCTCGCTGTACGCGTGTCTGCTGATTCCCCAAAGCCCAGAGCATACAATTGGTGCTTGGTTCAGCCTGGCTGGTCTGTGGCTGAGTGTCTGCCATGAGTGCCCACTCTGGCTGGCAGACCCAGTGCCTCCACAGCCCTTGGTGCTCACCTTGCCCCTGGAAGGCCCCTTCTGGTTGCAGCTCAATCCTGGCCCTGTGAGAACAGCCCCTCCCTGGAGAGCCTTTCCTCCCAGGAGTCTTTTTTTTTTAAAAAGAGTTTTGCTCTGTCGCCCACGCTGGAGTGCAGTGGTGTGATCTCGGCTCACTGCAACCTCAGCCTCCCGGGTTCAAGTGATTCTCCCGCCTCAAGCTTCCCAAGTAGCTGGGATTAGTAGAGATGGGGTTTCACCATGTTGGCCAGACAGGTGTCAAACTCCCAACCTTTGGTGATCTACCTGCCTCGGCCTCCCAGAGTGCTGGGATTACAGGCATGAGCCACCGTGCCCAGCCTTCCCAGGAGTCTTCATGCACAGCCGCCATTCTAGAAGGTCACACGTGCTGTGTGAAAGAGGCACCCAGTAACTGACCACTTACTTTGTAATAAGTGTTCCCTCCAGCAGTCTCTTCCCTTTCGGAAATGACCGGGGGTGGCCACAGGTTAGGCTCCTGCGCTATTGCAGCACAGCCCCCAGTCATCCCACCAAGAGATTTTTTTGTTGTCTTTTTCCCCAGACCTGTTGGGATTTAAATACTTTTCCTATTTGTTTAATTTTTCTTTTCAGCATTCACTACAGGCAGCTGGTGACCATGCCAAATGGGTTATTTACTTTTGACTAAATGCTCACTTAGGCTGTGTGTTCTTTGTAAGCTTTAATGGCTCACACCTGAGCCATCAAAGACCGTGCTGTATCGGTCGGGAATGTGCTTTCCTGAGCACCTACTGTGTGCGCTGGCTGAGGGGGAACAGATGACATAGCAGTTCAGAGCAATGTGCCATTCTGATTTTCAGAGGTCATTAGTCTCCTGGACTCATATGGCAATAATAATTCCCAACACCTTTATTTCCCAAGTGCTTCCTGTTCGGTGATCCTCAGCAGCCCTGCGGCCTAGGAATGGAAGCGTTTGTATGGCAAATGGAGCAAACCGAGGCTGGTGTTCAGCCCCTGGGTGTTACGGTCCTGCTGGTGCATTTTACCCAGAGGGCAGAAATCCGGATCAAACTGCCACCCCATACAGTCCCTTGGGCATGTTGTAAGGCTTGGGACACACTTTCTTCCTCTTGGATGTCCTTTCCAGTATGGAAAAAAGGTGGCTGCTGATGTCCAGAAACTTCCAATTCCTTAAGAGGACTTGAGCCCGGTGGAGGAGTCATGCTTGATTGAGAAGGAGGCGCTGGCCAGAAGCACCTGCTCTGCCTGCTGCTCTGTGCTACATTTCAACTGTTGATGGTGTGAGTGCTTCCTGAGTCTTGGGAAATGCTCCTTGTAACCTCCTTTCTCTCCTCTGTCTCTTCCACAGGCACATCTCCCTAACACTTCCTGCCACCTTCCGAGGCAGGAACAGCACCCGGACGGACTACGAGTACCAGCACTCCAATTTGTATGCCATATCAGGTATGTGAGGCCACTGCCGCAGCACCACCTCCTTCCACACGTTCTCTGTCTTCTCGTGGGACCTGTCTTCTTACCTTTCTTTTCTTCCTGCCAGGGGCCCGTTCCCTGCAGGGACCAGGCCTTCCCTTTCCTTTGTGTCGCCACAGCACTTAGAGAAGGGCCAAATACTCAGCATGTTTTGAAACTAATGATGAAAAACAATGTGTGGATTTCACAGGCTTGAAGGGAGGTTTCCAGAGAATACTCGCCACATTGTTCACCTGCCAGACCCGGGCAGGCTTCCCACGGGGCCTCGGGAGCAGAGCCGAGCTGAGCCCCGGTCAGCTCACCCTCCCGTATCCAAGTCTGTCCGCACCTCTCATTTCTCACAGCCAGGTTTGTGGCCAGAGGGTACACTGGCGGTCTCCCCTCACACCCCTGGAGTATCAGTCTGTGGTTTCTGAACTCGGCCTTGAAATTGATAGGGTTACCTTGGCAGGAACTTCATCAGTCCTAGTTTTCCTTTTCACCTTCGCCCAGGGAGGGGAAAACTTACAAGCCTTATTACAGAATTGAGATTCATTAGGTGCTTGGCAGTACAGGTGACTTGCTAAGAGCCGAGGAAACCCACAAACTCGCCTCCGATTATCCTGGGCCGCCAGTCAGGGGTGTTTGTGTAGAAGGGGAAAGTGGCAAATTGGTGCCACTTACCAGCACACACCCTTAATGGTGAGTGACATTTTGAACACAGGAACATGGCATTCATTCATGTACCATAATGAATCGGTTATTTAAAAGGTAATCTTTTTTCTAAAAATTGCAACTACAGGTTACTAAATAGATGAAATAGAACAATGGCATAATTCTTGTCAGTATTAGTTTTTCTCGTTATGATCACTCCCTAATAGGTTTGGAAGTATAAGCAAAAGCCAGTTGTTCCACTTCTGGGTGACATTCCTGCTGGGAAGGGGAGGGACAGGGATGTTCTTAAGCCCCCGTCCCTGGCTCCACTCCAGGATCCAGGCTCTCCAAGGGGAGAGGGAACGTGATTGTCTAAGAACAGCATCTCCAGGGAGAATTTCTTTTGTGCTGTGGCTATTTCAGCAGAGTCGACAAGGAGCATAACAAGTGTGGAAAGATGACCTATTTTGTAGAAAAGCTGAATATTTCCCCAGATGCTTAGTGGCACAGAGGTGCAGAACAGGTCTGTGGAATCCAGCAGGGCGCCCCGTTCAGAAAGCACACAAGGGAAGCTCCATCAAAACGGATGACTCTTTTCTGCAGCTCGCAAATCTTTTTCCAGCCACAACGTTCGGCTGCACCCACTTTACCTGTTCTCTGATGGCTTTCCCAGCTGTTGGCGTTTCTGCGGGAAAGAGCCACAGAGTGAAATCTCCTGTGGTTTGGCAGGAACACTGCTGTCTGCCTCTGGACCGCGGCTTCCTCGCCCCGCAGCTTTGATGAGGTGTTGTCTGGGTTCATTTCAGCTGTTAGTTTAGCAATACCAAGGTAACAGCCTCAAGACACAGGGGAAGCCATTCAGAAACTTCCTGTTACATTTATGTAAGTGGCAGTCAATTGGATTTTATCTTCCAAACAGAGGTAGTTGAGGTTACAGCCCACGGCAGCAGGCAGTTTCAGGCCGCCTCAGCGGCTGCAAGCACCAAATTGCTCTGCCAGGGTCCAGGACCGCTTTGTTGTGTTGCTGCCAGAAATACCCCGCAGGACCTGCTGGCTCCATAAGGCCTGCAAGCTCAGCACTGGGCAACTATGGCGCAACTGGGAAGCCTGCCCGCCCACCCACTGGCAGCCTGCCTGTGAGTCGTTCTGGCTAGAAGGGAGCAGAGACCACCTCCCTCACCCCCATATGAACAGTATTTGGCACCGAGTGGCCTATCTCAGTTTGTTATTGTGAAGTTAGGGTTTCCAATGGTTTCTTCCAAAAACAGTTAAGGCAAAGTGTGCCCCAGGCCCTAGCCCTTGCCCAGTACTGATGCCTTGATAGCTGGAGTTCTGCTGATAATGAAATGAATCATCAAACCGTTCTGCCTCTGAACTGGCCCTGGCACGGGTTCACTGCACACTTCAGGAGCTGAGCCTTTGGTGCAGACACCTGGCGTGCTCTGTGTCCCTCCTGAAGACATTCGATTTATGCTCCCTTGTGTTCGGTCCCTTCCTAAGATAGTAGATTTCAAAACAGTGTAATTAGAAATTTGAAAAACAGCCCACACTTAATGTGTGTGTATGGTTGTTAAAGTATATTAACTTTTCAGTGTTTTCTCGGTGGCATACCTGCTAGTAGTCCCTTTTCCTGTGCCTTTCACTAAGACAGTTTACTCCCACCATGCCTGCAAAGGGTGAGTGTGGCTCAGAGTTGCCAGAGACACCAGTGGAGACCGTATGTAGTCCCATCCCTGGCACACAGTGGTGCTTATGACGTGGTTATGGAAGGAAGGAAGAGATGAAGGGAAGCATTTAGCCTCCTGTCTGCCTTGCACAGGACTACCCTCCCAGGTAGTCATCCTGATTTGCTGCTTGAATGCCTGCAGTGTCTGGGGCCACCACCTCCCACCAGCCCACCCATCCCTGTGAGATCCCCCCTCATTAAGCTGGGCTCTGTCTTCCTGTTCTTTCACATCCATCTAGCCATTTGGGATACTGTGCGTTCCGCCAGCCAACATTTGCCAGCTGTTCTACGTGGTTCAGTCAATATCTCTCTCTTGCCCACAGAAGTGGGGTGAGGAGCTCTTTCTGACTCAGTGCTGAAATCCTGAGATGCTTGTGGCCTGTGCTCTTCTCTCTTGTAGCCTAATCCAAATAGCCATGAAGCCAGCATCCATCCTCACACTTGTCCTGCCAATATCTCCTAGAAAATACAGATGTGCAAAAAGATTCATCCACAAGGATAAGCACCACCACTTCCCAAAAATAATACTTCAAGACAGGGGTGGGGGTGGATATATCTCAAATGCCCCAAACAAAGATGAATGGTTAAATTACAGAATACCTATACAGTACCTTAACTTTTCAACCATCCAAAAAGTGATGGCTTAGGTTAACAGGCATATACGCATATTGCTAAGTGGAAAGAAAAACAGGTAGCAAGCCAGAATGTGAGCGTGATCTCGTTTTTAAAAGTGCATCTAAGCTGGGAGTGGTGGTGCGTGCCTGTAGTCCCAACTGCTTGGGAGACTGAGGAGGGAAGATCCCTTGAGGCCAGGAGTTCGAGGCTGTAAAGCACTGTTGAGATGGCCTTTGGTAATAGCCATGGACTCCTGCCTGGGCCACACAGAGAGATCTCATCTCTTAAAAAAAAATTAAGTAATTTTTAAAAATTAACAAAAAAATACATCTAAAGGTCTGGAAAGGTCCACGCCTAAGTGTTTACAGTGGTTTTTTTGGGACTTCCCTCTTTTTTTTTTGGCCTCGTTGCAGTTTCTCATTTTCCATAATAGCACGTGTTGCTTTTGTAATAAGAAAAAATGTAGACCTGGGGCTGGGCACGGTGGCTCACACCTGTAATCCCAGCGCTTTGGGAGGTCAAGGCAGGTGGATCACAAGGTCAGTAGTTAGAGACCAGCCTGACCAACCTGGTGAAACCCCATCTCTACTAAAAATACAAAAATTAGCCAGGCGTCATGGTGGGTGCCTGTAATCCCAGCTACTCAGGAGCCTGAGGCAGGAGAATCGCTTGAACCCAGGAGGCAGAAGTTACAGTGAGCTGAGATTGCACCACTGCACTCCAGCCTGGGCGACAGAGGGAGACTCCGTCTAAAAAAAGAAAAGAAAAGAAAAAAAAAACTCTCTCTCTCTCTATATATATATATATATATA